AAAATACAAATTTCAGCTGTTGCTGGAAGAACACAATACATACCACAAAAACCAATATGTACAATTTGCTCGTACATGGATTTATACAGTGGAGTGCTTTGAAGCTGTAGAGATCTCTAAAAATACTAAGGATTATCATTTTGTACATTCAGCAAAGTGAACGTGTAACTAGAGAAAACAATGTGTCTTAGGTAACATTTTCCTTAGGTGAATTTGGCCATTGTGTAAGTGAGGGACAAATGCCACTGTCTAGACAGGGAGACATTGTGCAAGCTTTTCCAATACATATGTGTCTAGATCTTTTAGTTCTACCAGAGTTCTCATACTAATGAGAAGTGGGCCTGAACCAAACTCCATCGCTGGACACCCCAGCACACCTGGGAGTTTCAAAACTGGATCTGAATTCTACAGCTCAGGCCCATCGCTACATCTAATTCAGTTCTGGGGAAGGGCTCTGATTTCGAAGGTCTCTGTTTTGGGGTGTACCTTGGAGTACACCATGAGCGCTGAGCAGCCAGCATGCTAGTTGAAGACAACGGGCGCTCTGAGCACTTAGAACCTTGAAAAGTCAGGCTCAGCATGTTTGGACATTCAAAATCAGAGACTGTTTTTAAGTATCGGCCGGAACCGCCATCTGTTTCCCCATCTATTAAATGGGTCTTCTGTTTATCTGCCTCAATTAAACTTTGCATAGCACTTTGAAGTTGTGAGGTACTAAGTAACAGTAACAAACTCCTTTTAGAGGTTCTCCAAATGTAAACGTACAATGAGTTGTACATCTTAAAACCCACTATCCCGCCTTTCACTGTTTGGTTTCCTAGTGTTGGCCATTGAACTTCTTGCAGCCTGCCAGGGCATTGAGTTCCTACGCCCCCTGAGAACAACCACCCCATTGGAGAAAGTCTATGACCTTGTGCGCTCTGTTGTAAGGTAAAATCAGATAACGTTTTCCCAAAGGTTACAGCTTTGAAGACCTGCTAACTACAGTGTTGGTTAATGTTTGGCTAATGTTCTCAATTTGTCTCCTTTCAGGCCTTGGCTAAAGGATCGCTTCATGGCCCCAGACATTGAGGCAGCTCACAGGCTGCTTGTGGAGCAGAAGGCAGGTGTTGATACTGGCATTTGTACAGTAGCTCATTCCTTACGAAGAGATCTGTAGTTCTTTTTTTAAAATGGCCCTTGATGCATCAGGGGAAAAACAGCTTTTCTCCTCACATGCATGATTTAATTACCATCATCTCTGAAGGAATATGTGTGGAGATTTTACTTTGTCATAGTCTTTTAAAGGGACGCTTTTAGTTTAAAAATAATATATTTTAAAATGAGTCCCGTCCGTTGTGTTATGGATAAATGACATAGGTTATGGAAACTGACAGGTCTTTACAAATATCAGCCCAGTCCTGCAATGAGCCCCATGAAGGTAGTCTCCTGCATCCACATGGAGCCCCATTAAAGTCAGTGGAACTATGGACACTTGCTGAGTACTATCCATGGGGAGCTCGTTGCAGGACAGGGGCCAGGGAGTAGGAGGATAGTCCATAGCCCAAAGAGCTTGTTACCCAATTCAAGACCAGATATAAGAGAGGGCCTGGCAAACTATAGGAGCGCAAGGATGAGAGAACAGCAATGAGGATATGCATTAACACAGCCCTACTGTGTGCTCGGCTAGAGGGTTCGGAACCCACTTTGGTTTTTTACAGTTGTAAAATATAACTAACAGAAGAATGAGCGAGAGAGGGAGAGATGAGGTTCCTACTGACCTATCAAACTATTTGCAGCCATATGGACCCTAATAGCCCACCAGTCTTTAGCCCTGCTAGGGGGAATGATAAAGGAGAAAAAGGAAAACTTTCCAACCTTTAGGTTCCTTTGTAAATCCGAGCCCCAAAGTCTGCTCAGATCTGCCATTCCTTGCCAGTGCTGCCCATCACTGACCTTTCTTGGCCATGCCAGTCTTCCATTCCATGCTACCTTGGCTCCTGCATGACAAGGTGCTTTCTGTCAGACACCAGGGACACATCCCTACCAGCTCCTATCCCTTCCTAGGACATCACCTGGGTACTAAGAGATGCAATGCCTCCTCCCACCTGAGAAAACTCACCTTGCACCAGTCAGGACCGTAGCTATATACCATTCCCTTGCAACTGCACCTAGATCCCCCTTTACCCAGCAAAACTGTAATGTCCCTACAGATTCCTGTGCTCAGTACCAGTCTCGCTCTTCAGCAATCATCTCTGACCCTATGTCTATTTCAGATTGCCACATGCAATTTATTTCTGTATATCTATTACAGTCAGTTAATTATGCCCTGCTCGTGTCTGCACAGGGTTCTCTGATCTTGGGAATTGACATGTGACTCAGTTTGAACATAAAATCTTTCAGCCTTCACGTCTGACTCTGCTATTGCTCTTTCTGTCCTGTAGGTTTGGGAAGTAGCTGTACCTTACATTGAAAAATATAGACGGGAGCATATTCCTGAATCAAGACCTGTTTCACCCACAGCCTTTTCTCTGGATTCATTGAGAATGAATAAATGTGTTGGGACTGATCACAGTGATCAGGATTAACTTTAATGTGCTATGAAGTCTGGTACATAGAAAATCCTTTCCAGTGCTTTCTCTGATGGAGATTGTTTTATTATGATACAACATGGTTTCTTCCTGGGATATAATGAAGCATGTGTAGGTAGTTGTCTCACCTGTTAAAAGATGGTGTCGGATTGTAGAGCGGATTCGGTTGAATTTACTGATGGTCTAATTTAAACAATGGTCTAAATACACCATTGGTACAACTCCATTGACTTCACTGGACTTGCACCTGCTAATGCTGGCCCTGAATTTGGCCAAATGAGATCAAACATGAACTAATCAGTTTAATTAGAAATGCATCAAATCATACAGTCCTTAATCAGGCAAAACTTCCACTGAAGCCAATGGAAGTTTAGCCTAAGAACTGCTTGATTTGGCCTAATATCCTTATTTACAAAAAAAAATATGTGGAATGGACATTTTACATAGTACAGAGTTGGCTAACTGCAATGGGTACTAGGAGATGCAATGCCTCCTCCCACCTGAGAAAACTCACCTTGCACCAGTCAGGACTGTAGCTATATACCATTCCCTTGCAACTGCACCTAGATCGCCCTTTACCCAGCAAAACTTGGGGGAGGGATAGCTCAGTGGTTTGAGCATTGGCCTGCTAAACCCAGGGTTGTGAGTTCAATCCTTGAGGGCGCCACTTGGGGATCTGGGGCAAATCAGTACTTGGTGCTGCTAGTGAAGCCAGGGGGTTGGACTCAATGACCTTTCAAGGTCCCTTCCAGTCCTAGGAGATGAGATATCTCCATTAATTATTATTATTTAATGGCAGAATATTACTGGGGTTACTTTTTCCTTACTGGTTTAAAAAGCAAACAAACTATGATATTCCTATAAAAAGTAAATTTTTCATGTGAATAATCCTGGCTATTAATGAATATGTAATCCACCCACTCTGCCGCTGGTGAGATAATTTTGCATTAATGTCAGTTGGAGGGGGCTGTGTTGCTAAATTCCACCCCTTTGAAAATTAAAGAGGGCACTTAAAATACAATCCAATTAATAGCTTTTGATTCTGTTTCTATTTAAACATTGTTTTGTTGTGCCATCTTTTGGGTACGGATATGGCTTTTTATTTATCTCTAGCTTTGTCAGTGTTAGTATAACTGAGGACTGGAGCACATCAAGCTAGATTTCATGCTCCTGTTTCTCTTGAGTTAGACCTTTTTGACATGCTGCATTCCAACATGAGCAAAATTGTCTGATACTTTTATCCCTATCCGTTTTACGTGCACCTCAAACACTGTGAGTTAAACAGTCCTATGTAATGAGAGAGCATTTTATAGCAGCTTCTTCACAAATCAGAAAAGCTGTATGGACACGAATATACCAGGGGTGCTGGGACTAGGGGTGCAGTAGAACCCCCTGGTTTGAAGCAGTAACAACAACCAAATACACGGTTTCTGCTTTCAGCACCGCCCCCCCATAAAAATTGATCCGACACCCCTGCAAAACAGCACATGGATCGTTGCTCCAGAGCACACCTGCTGTGTTGTTCCCAATGGAATATACCTAACTCAGTTAGTTTTCCAGAGAATATGGAGTCACACCTAAAATAAGTATAGCCAAGCCCAGAGCCAACTTCCATGCACATCTGTATCTGTGGGGTTTTATTTCATATGTTACAATGAAAATTTGAAGCAAAAGATTAGCTCGGGGGGGAAGAAGGAGGGGGGTGAGAGAGAGAGAATGCAAGGGCCAAGAAACATTGCAAATTGCCCATCACAACGGGAAGTGGCATGGGTAAGGGACTTGGGCCATCAATGGATTTAGAAGGCCATGATCTGAAATTCTATGGTTCATCAGACATCTGCATGGAGACTTAGGCCCTGATCCAAAAAGTACTTAGGCCAGTGGCTCTCAACCTTTCCAGACAACTGTACCACTTTCAGGAGTCTGATTTGTCTTGAGTACTCCCCCCAAGTTTCATCTCACTTATAAACAACTTGCTTACAAAATCAGACATAAAAATACAAAAGTGTCATAGCACACTGTTACTGAAAAAATTGCTTACTTTCTCATTTTTATTTGGAATATAAATACTGTACTTCTATTTCAGTGTATAAGATATAGAGCATTGTATAAACAAGTCATTGTATGAAATTTTAGTTTGTACTTTTCCTATAGCCTGTTGTAAAATGAGGCAAATATCTAGATAAGTTGATGTACCCCCTGGAAGATGTCTGTGTACTCCCAGGGGTACACGTATGCCCCTGGTTGAGAACCACTGTCTTAGCCCTGGTCTACACTGGTGGGGAAGGGGGGGAAATCGATCTAAGTTATGCTACTTCAGCTACGTGAATAACGTAGCTGAAGTCGACGTACTTAGATCGACTTACCATGGTGTCTTCACCATGGTGAGTCGACTGCTTCCACTCCCCCGTTGACTCTGCCTGCATCTCTCGTGGCGCTGGAGTGCAGGAGTCAACGGGAGAGCGCTCGGGGGTTGATTTATCGCGTCTAGTCTGGACATGATAAATCGATCCCCGCTGGATTGATCGCTGCCTGCTGATCCGCCGAGTAGTGTAGACATATCCTTAGATATATAAGTCCTAAACTGTCTGATTATACCACTCTGTATAGTTAGTCATTGGACCAGAGAGAGAGAGAGAGAGCATGATTGTAGCTTGGTGGTTAGGGCATCCACCGGGAGGTGGGAGATCTCTGCTCCAATGACTCTTTAATTATTTAGCCATTGTGGAACAACTTCAACAAGAGAGACTGAGGGAGCCCCATATCAGAATACCCCACAGCTCAGTTGTTAGATCACTCTATGGAGAGAGAGGATTTGAACGGGGCAGGGAGTCACCCTTCTCCCCCTCAGCCAGAGAGGATGGAATTGAACCTGGGTCTGCCACATCCCAGGCAGGTTGTTCCACCCACTAGCTAAAAGTTAAAAGGTGGGGGCAGCGGTGGCTCCTCCTCCTCTGGCTGTTTTGTGTGGCATGAGGCAGGCACTTAACTCATTCCTGCAAGAAACAACTTAGGAGGTGGGTTCACGTTTGTGGATTGCTAAACAGAGATAGGTGCTTCCCTGCAGCTGGGACTTGGGAGCCTGTCTCCATGAGGGGGCGGATCTTAGGACACCCCCTCTGGTCAGCGTCTCCCATTGGCTAATGTAGGTGCCTCCCTGCCTAGCTTGCTGGCTTTTGTGGATTGCATTCTTAGATGCCTGTCTCTCCCCATTCATTGTATATGAAGCCTAGGTGCCTAATTCAAGCTTTGTGCATTGCAAGTGGGGGTCTTGTGATATTCTAGGCACTGCGATGCTCAGCCTTGCAATGCCGAAGTCCATTTGTTGACCCAGGCCTCAGTGCCACTACACAATTCAGTCCTCACTGCTGCCTGTGGCTAAGACAACCCTCCTATGAGGGAAGCAGCATAAATATGACAGGGTGAGCATTAGCTTATGCTGTAATATTCCTCTTACGCCACCCCCGTGTGAGGGGCTGATGCTTCTGCAGAGCAGACGTCCCTGTTCACTCATCTCCGCTCCTAACACACAGAGAGCCAGCTCCACAGCATACCCTGAGCCTGATTCAAATATATTTGGCAAGCTGACTGTGTTGACTTCAACACAATACTAATTCTGCCAAGGGACTGTGTAAAATTGTCACTCACCAGATCTGCTCCCAGTTTGTATTCAGTGATACCTGCTTACAGGTATAGGGATTCTTTTAAACTGGGCTTCTCTTCTGTGGCGATGACAGCTGGATTTTGTTCTTCCTTGTGCATTTTCAGAAGAATCTTTTTACTAAGTTCTAATCAGTTACATCTTTGCAGCCCCAGTGAAGGTAACAGTATTACACAAATGTCACTGAGGGCATAGCTTGGCTTCTAGGACCTTTATTGGAGGTGATGACAGGTGAGAAGGAAAGAGACCAGCTTGACTCATCGATCCTAATTTGATTTGTAGGGCTGGCAGCTAGAAAAACAGTTTTACTTGTAAACAGAGCATACTTGAGCTGAAAATCATTCAGAGTCAATAAACACAGAACATCACTGTGCCACTTTTGTAGCATCACTGTTCAGAGCAAAACTGCATTTAAAATTTTTTTGAACTAGTATTTGAGACATTCACCAATTGCCTGTATAACTGTTATTTACCAAAGCTGTCAGAGTGATGTTTAAGGAAAACCTGACTGTGGGAGAGCACAGGTGTTACACTTAAGTCCACACCCACAACTGGTATAACATCTGCTTGCAGTGAAGAATGTCTAGTGACAGGCATGTCATTAAATTATGACACAAATTTATTTTGTTGGCTTTTCTGGCTTGAATAAAATTAGGACAAAGAAATATGACACTTTGCTGGGGCTCATGTATTTTTTGAAGTAAATAGAAAACTCAAGGCTCTGATAGATCAGAGGTTCATAATAAGGGTTAACTATTCATGTTTGTGGTGGCTTTCAAATATTTACAGGCTGCTCCAAATGTGACTGGCCTCATTAATGATAAAGAGCTAGTTCTCTGAAAGGCTGTCCTTGACCCAGCTGTAATTGCCTTTTATAAACAACATTACAGCTATGTAGACTTGTAAACTATTCACTTACTTGCATACGTTATCTTATTAACAAAGTTGAGACCTTTTCACTCTGCAGATACTGAATATCTGATCAGTCAAATTAGCGGTAGAGCCCTAGTGATAGCAAGTATTGGAGGGAAGAAAACCACATGCTATGCATGTGATGGCTTAGACTGCTGGCTGTATTGCCCTCTCCTCTACATACTGTAGTCTATGTGAGGGGAGAACATGGAGTGTGTATGTGTGTATTTTTATATGGAGAAGCCACACAAAGGTCTTGAAGTTGCGGATAGAGGTATGATAGGATATAATATATTCTGCAAATGAGTATGCAAACCACTGAAAAATACAAATAGGAAGGGAAAGATGCCCTCGCAAAGGAAACCCAAACCTTCAAACCACTTAAAATGAGCCTGAGTTGAAGGATCATTATATTCATGATCAACCCACTATCACAAAAGGCTTATAAACTCAGGTCAGCATTCACAAACGTGTGTATTTCAGTTCAGATCCAGCCTAAAGTACATCAGAACAGCTCTTTTGCGAAAGTCTGTCCCAAGATTGTGGAAATCTTTTTCTGACTTTCAACGTGACAAATATTCAGATATCAGCTGAGCTCACAAGACTCCTGCATTTGCGGCTTACTGCCTATGAGAACTGCTTGCAAGATTTTGGCAGCATTGATCCAAATTTATCCTGGATTAACC